CTATGTGAAAAAGGCTTCTATAGTACACTACAAAATAGCAAAATGCTAAATAAAAGAGGCATATACTATAGCAAAAAAGGCAACTCTTCTACCGCAAGACTTGATAAGGCCACAGAAATCAAAGCGGACCACAAGTTTTTGTTTTATTTGCAAAAAATTTAGCAAACTTTGATTTCAGTTAAAGATTATTGCAGAACTTTTGGATTCTGTGGTCTTGTCAATAATAAATTCATAATCTTATAATCGCGGGGACGGGAAATAAAGTAATTAAGTAATTGGATAGTATAATAGTATAGTATATAGTAGTATAATGGAAAAACATAAAAAATTTAAACAAAAAAAAACAACAGAATACTAATACTTAACGGATAAGCGAAACACTAACAATTAATTAAGTAAAGAATGTTTAAACAAAAGCACTAACAGGTACCGGATAAGAAAAACACATACTAACGGCTATTTAAGAGGAAATTATTTGGAAAGAACCTAGACTAATCACAGGCAAAGCACAGTTTTTTTTCTCACCGTCCCCGAAGTATGGTAACAAGAAATGTAAAATTCTATAAAACTTGCGGTGTGGATAACTAAAAAGGCCACAACAATTCAAATTTTTTTTTTTTCTCTTTCTCATAAAATTATCGAAAGACAGTTTACTCTTCATATCCGGCGTTTGCGGCCTCAACATATACAGCTACGACTCCCCTCTGGTGACTATTGATCATGGGCATGGCTGGATCTTGAATGGACACTTTAGTCTCGTCCACGTGATTGACCTTAACTACTTTAACATAGCGTTGGAAAAACTAAGAGAGACAACACGGTATGAGATCGAAAACGAAGCAGTGAGGAGCATGGAAATGGATTGCTGGCTCTTCGGATGCTGCGGATTGGGACTATATCCTTCGAAGCTTAAACGAGGTGGTGACCAACAACAACCACCAATATCGCGTCAATGACAAGCTCTTTAACGGAACCCGTGAAGCAATTGAGAAGGCAAATCAAATGATGGTTCACATTAATGCAATCAGCAAGAGTGTTAAAGAAGAAAACCTTGAACTTCTGGACCTAAGTAAGGTTCTCATCCTTAAAGAACAAGTATCGGAGGTGGTGCAAGCGTGCCAAATGGCAAAAACGGGCATCGTGAACACGAACCTGCTTGATCGAGAGGAAATCCATAGACTTATACTCGAAGAAGAGTCCTTACCATACCAAAACTCAATCGAGGCTATAGAACACGGATCGGCATCCGTATACTCGAACGGAACACTTCTTCTGTATGTTCTTTCCATGCCAAAGGTGAAGCCGGACAGCTATCGACTCTAAATGGACAACACGTGGTACTCGACTATGAGAAAATGTTGATAAATCAGGACGAAACGTTCGGTATTAAAAATGATTGCTCGTCCATTGGCAATTACTCAATTTGCGCACCCAAATCGTTGGCTAGACTACCCGAAGACGGATGCATAGCGAGATTGTTAAAAGGCGGAAATGCGAAATGTCACTTCGAACCATCCAGCAGCATAATCATAGAAATGATGGACGAGACATCACTATTCCTAACGAACTTTTGGGGTAAAATCCAGGGAAAAAACTACGAAAACGTCCTGAATGGAACATATGTCGTTTTGCTCAACAACGAAACCATCGTAGTGGGAAACCAAACGTTTACCAGCAGGTCGACAAGGATGGTACAGGCTTTGCCACCTGCATTAACAAACGTGACGAGTAATGGCCTGAAGCTGAATTTGAACTACATCCACGAGCTTAGCGTAACAAACATCCGACACCTACGAAAATTGGGCGAAACTTTTCACTTTTCGCTGATTTTCGACACCGTTGCTTTGACGATCCTTGCATCAATATGCTACGTAATTTGGAGGAAGATTACTACAACTATCTACTTTCCCAGGCTCAATCGCTCAATCAAACAAGATCAGCCAAACGCCCTCTTCAAAGATCTACGTCAGGAACTACCTCATCAGCGGGACGCAGATGTTTAAAGGGGGGGTAGTTAATACGGGGGCTAACACACATACCTGTGTGAATGTGCTGACGCCGCACTTCCCCAAACACGCGCATAACCAGTGCGGGTAATTGAACTCTCATGCAAAAATAATCGAACATACGTTAGCATAATTGAATCTATGGGAAGCGCAGCGTCAGCAGTTAATTCAGCCGGTTAGACAGTAAGTCATAGTATTAAGAAATATGTTGCATTCATTCCATTTGGGACAGCAGAAGCAGATGGTAAATATACTTGTACAAAACTAATTATTGTCTTTTATTTTAGGAAGGACAACTCGGGGCCGCCGTGCGGCCCCCAACTTTAACTTTTTCGGGCTCACGGATGTGAGCTCGATGACTTATATATATATATATTTTTTTATATGGGAGTTGAAGTCGGTTTTTTTTTTGCTAAAAATTACTTGTTTTTGTTAAATTTTTTAGAGACTTTTACGTTGGTGACCTGAAGTTTTTGCCTGAGAAGACCTGTATTAAAATTTCCCTAAGAATAATTTTGTAGAACACATCAATCCTTTAACGACTTCCAAATTTGCTTTTTGAAGGGTTTCTTGAAGTAGGGGTCAAATCGACTCTTTCAGGCGGGAGCTAATGGGTTAAAATCTTCTACGAAAATATTTACCACGCTATTTTACTCAATACGTCTTAGCCTTACATTTCGCTCAGACATTTATTTTAACAATTTTTTCCACTTTTTTTAAACTACTTATTCCGGGATATGAAAACTTTAGTGGGACATAAAATAAAAATACGAACTAACTCCTGCAAATCCATCGAGTGTTTTATTACTGGATGGGTATACTTTCAGAAAATGTTAACAAAGTAGTGCGGGTTTCGGCTGTCGTACAGTGTAATTAATAAAATAGTGAAACAATTTCATTCTTCACATTAAAAGTTAAAGTAGTACACTATTTCCAGTAGTAATTTTTAATCCATTTTTAAACAGAAGTGCCTTTGATTTATAATAATGTGATGTGTGGTTCCATAAAATGACAGGTATTTAGTGTGGGTTCCATTATCTTAAAAGTTTGGGAACCACTGTTCTAGGACACATCTAGTAGTATTCCTTGCAAACATTTCAATATTAATAAAAACAGCAATTTTATTCATTTCTTAGATCATAGTTTTATATTATAAGAGCTTTAGCTTTAGTGTATTTAAATAAGCTAACTGAAACTTGCCATAAAGTCTGACTGTCATGGGAGGTTTTCATTTTTAATATGCATCTTTTTTGTGGCCGCGAGTATTTAGAGATGCGTTCTACTATCAATTAGATTTGAGGTCTGAGCAACATAACAAATTATAATAATTTAAGGAAATACGCTTTCCGGTAGGAAACTAGACGTTGTTTGGAACTTTCTCTTACGCTGTGTAAACATTTTATCGGTATACATATGACGCCATGAGGGCCAGAGTAGCCTAACTGACATTTCAAAATAAGTTGAGGTGCAGCTTAAAATAAATAACTAAAATTGAAACGATAATAGCTCGAGGCACGCCTATTAGTATTCTTTTACTAAAATATGTAGCATCACGTTGGTGCAATGAACTTTTTAGTAAAAGACCGCATTTATAGATCCTTTTTTCTCTTGGCCTCTTATGTACATATTAGAGATGGGCACGGGCCGGGCTTTTGGCAGAGGCCCGGCGGGCCCCTGCGTAAGCCCGCGGGTACGGGCCGGAATATTTGCTGTCAGCACGAACTCATGCGTGCATGGGCGTTCAGTAAAATTTCATAAAAGCACGAAAAAGCCCGTTGCTAATACTGCAAATTTAGATAAGCTTTTGTTTTTATAAAAAAAAAAAAAAAATAGTACATATTTAAACCTCTTTTGATAAGAGAAGAGCAAAAAAGGAAATATTTGGAAACCGATAGAAAAAATAAGATACTTAGTAGTTTTATTTACATATCTGTACATAAAATACCTTTCACTTTTTTTACTTCCCAAAAAATATATTATAAAAATCTTTGATGTAAAAAATTGATTCGCTTAAGTAAATATACATACATAAACGCAAAATTATGTATACATACAATAAAAAACTTGCTCTTTATTTCCGGACTGGGACGTGTCCCGCCGGGCCGGGCCCCACTGAAATTCTTAACGTGCGGGCTCGTGCGTGTTTTTGAAAGTTGATTTTGCACTCGTGCCGGGCCGGGCCTGAAAATTTAGGCCCGTGCCCATCTCTAGTACATATGCACTTAAAAAATAAAAAGTAATTCCAGGACAGCACAATATTGCCTTCATTAAAATATCAAAACCCACCTATGTACAACTTTAACTACTTTGTTATTGGACTAGATTCTTCTTAACTAATACAGCTAAACAATTTTCAATGCGAGTGTTTGTTTCATAAAATTGACAATTTAATAATGAGATTTAAATTACTGTCATAGCGTTAATATGTTACATTTGTAGATTATGAGCCACTAGGAACTAAATAATTATTGAAATTATGAAATTTTTTGCCGCGCATTTTTTCTCAAAGGTTACGTTACTAAGTAATTTGTGTACAAACAAAATCAGTTCTGTTGGTCAGCACACCGATTGCAAGTTATCTCGCATCTATAAATTTCAGTGCTAGTGACCTATGCAGCTAAACAGTGACATGACGAAAAATTGCATGTCACAGCCTAGCCCAATGTACACAAAATTATATTAGTGACGTCATACAGTTCGTAAGCTGGAACTTAGTCTATGCTGCGTATGGGCTGTTGTGTGCTGGCTAGTTGATAGATCTACATTCCCATAATACGAAGGTTCTAAGCTTTCTACTGGCGATTTCATCATTAAAACCGGATGCACTGGAATGTCGTAGATCGAAGTAATGTTTCTGCAATGTTCCAAATTGATGTTATTAGGCCCTGTTGTATAATGAAGAAATGGCAAACTCGTAGTTGAAGTGATAGTGTGCAACGGAGGCAGTTGTTTGTATCTCATTTCGTCGTTAATAACTGAATCGAGTTGAGGTAACATTTGGCGGTTCGATTCGATAGCATGCTGTTCTATGTTGTCAAAAACTTCGACGCAGATCGGTTTATCACTGTTTACACTTTTTAAAGATACTGAATCTAGTTTATCAGGTGTTATTAGACTTTCAATAGTAAAAGAACGTTTTGGTCGGTATTTGCTAATGACAGTTGTTACGTCCAGCATAGGAGATAATACCCGAGTTTGTGGTATGAAGGTCTGGAATGTTGCATGAGTACTAGTCGCTATAGTGGTTTGCGGATATCCTGGTCCCAATGAAAATGCAGAAGTTGATGAATTCGGAACTAGATGTGCCATTACATCTAAATGTTCAGTCAATGAAGATGTTGCCGATAAATTGGGTGAATATAGTGCGGGGTCACCAGCAAGTGGAAATTTTACCGAGGATACTGTTGCGTTTTGTGCATTGCTGCTGTTAAAAATAAGACGATGAAGGTTTGTCCACGTGGCTAGTTCCTCCTTTAAATAATCTTTATCATGTTTGCGTAACTTAAAACGTTTCCGACGCCGCAGTAAGCTGCCATTCTGAAACATATCTAGCGCTTGTGGATGAAGTGTCCAGTACGCACCTTTACCGGGGCGGTTTGGACTTCGAGGAACCTTTATGAAGCAATCATTAAAGCTGAGGTTGTGACGCAATGAATTTTGCCAACGCTGTGTATTCTTACGGTAATAAGGAAAACGATCAATAATAAATTTATAAATATCACTGAGTGGTAACATTTTTTCAGGTGAATCCCAAATTGCCATTGCTGTTAATGAAATATACGAATAGGGAGGCTTTTGATCGCCATATGATTCACGCGAAGGTCTTGGCATAGTTCCACACTAAAAATCTGTTTAAAAAGTAGCACTTAACTTTTTATTTTATTTAGGTAATGCATTTCATAGCCTTAACATGATCACTTCAGTTTCAGTCGTACTTTATTGAATTCAAATTGTCCGACGGTAAAACATGTTCGACATAGTTTGAACAACACGCGTTAATATCTTTCATCTCTCTTCATTGATTGTGCGCGGAAATCTAAACGATAGTATGAATAACACTAACATAAACATTTCGATGTAGTTAACGAAAATCTCAGACACACTGACGACACCATTCAGCCAGCAAAAGCAAAAGCACTCTCACACATACTCATATTGGACTGTGACGGCTCTAAACAGTTGAGACCGAAAAGAATAAAAAGCCATATCATTACACACAACCAACCAGAAATGCACAATGCTTTATACAGACTATTACTTGTTTTTCTGTTGGATCTTATTCACACCCCTTTCTATGTACATTCAAACCCACATAAATATGCATAGGTACATACGAATGTACACAGATGCATATGTATGTGGCGTAATAAGCCATTGTGGATTGTAATGCCTTGTGTTTTTGTGAGTACATACAATTGGATAATTCCATTCTACTCTGTGGCATGCCTTATTGCTATTTATGAACCTTTATAAGAGGTGTTGTCCTGGTTTTGAACGCTCTACTTAAAAAGGTTGTGCTTGTATACGCATATAAATATGTGCCTACATAAGGTATGTTTAAAAAAGTGTACCATATTATGTGTTATGGATTCATTCTTATGCGAGCATTTTTAGTAGAATGTTACGTTATTATAAACAGGAATTGTTAAGTAAAATAGAAGTTAGCAAGCTTTCTGTCATTGTTTGCAATACATATTTGGTTTATGCAAAAAGTCCTGTCCTGTTTAAATATGTTTATTTTGTACTGGTAACAAAAATATTGTCACAAAACAACAAAACGAAACAAAAACAAAGTTGAAGACTATAACTGACTATAATTGACCTAGAGTGTATTTGTTTATAGTCATGATGGCACATATTTTTTTTGTCTAATGTTTTGCATATAAATCCGACATTTAATTATTAGAATTATAAATGCTATCTTTTGAATCTCTTAAGATTTATCTTCATGACACCAGACACTGTGGCAATATTTAAACTTGGAAAAAGATCTTTGGATAGCATGATATTGTTTGCTGTGTTTATCTTGAACTTAAATAAGGGAGATTCTTTTGAACTGTGGCATTTTCTTCCAAGCCGTTCTATAATGAGTTGATTTCTGACCAAAAAAATCTACTAATAGATAAAATTTTGTCTAAGTGCCTTTTTATCACAAACGACGTAATTTCCACTGCGTAAGTATAATTTCTGAATAGTTATGTATGGTGTTTCACATCGTTTTTAAAACAAATTGAATTGTTGACGCAAGATGCCTTATTTTAATATTTGACACTCCCACTTGAATTAAAGAATTAATAGGTAAGTTTCAAATATAATTTTTTTATAGTACCAGAAAATGCCCAATACAAAAAAAGTGTTGAAAGAAAAAAATTTTTGTTAAGAAAAAAGAGAGCTCCTTCTCCTTCAGTATTGGTTGTCCTACCTTGGTGAAGGGGCTTAAATGACGACATGGAAATTCTCAAAGGGAGCTCCCAGATCGTGATGAACTAACATGAAAGCTTTATAAACTTTGCAATCGGCATGGAAGCTAACAAACCGGTTGGGCAGCATGTGGAGATAGCCACACCAACAACACCCTAATCCAAGATGTTGAGGTATGTACCCATGCCGATGGCTAAATGGTCAACGTGTGTATATTCAATAGCCGGCCGCGAATGGCCCCCTCCGATGCCCGGGCAAGGTCGGAGGTATATGTGCCTTCTCTACATATGCCGGCTCTGCGGACGAGTGATGAATCATTTCCGTGCATACTCGTGGGGGCAAATATGGCCCGTCGTTACGGAGTATGATGATAACACCCTTTTACCTCCAGTCAGGAGACAATTAAAAGTGTTCCTGGTTGTACCAACTATAGTACACCGGAAGCAAAAGCAGCCCAACAAACTGTACCTAAGGATGCCAAAGCAGGCAACCCCAACAGCCAAGACCTTCCAACTTCCTCCAAAGCTGCCGGTAGTATCAACCACAGTACAACGGCGGTGGGGGCATAGCGCAAAAGAGCGAATCTCAAAAGGCAAAACGTTCCACTAACGACAGAATTACCGGCAGAGAGAACAAGAAGCCTAAACAGGCTACATCCTCTGACTGCAACGCCATTTTGATGACGTTTCCAAAGGCAGTCTGTTGATGGCCATACTCAACGAAGTCCTGAGTGGAGATCGACGTCAAGCTATCGAGACTCGTTCTGGAATACGTCCTCGATAACCCGGCGAGTTTGATTCCCCATCCGGAGTTTGATTCCTCTAGATTTTTTGGAATTCTCAGCTGGGTGCGTCGCTAAAATGAACGAAGCATTCGTTGGCCTTAAACTAAGGCTGATTCCTGCTAAGGACGTCCCTCAGAGGCTACGCGCGCATATCTAGTTGCCTCCTATGGAGGAACCAGCCGAAAAACTGCTGAGGTGCCTAAAGCTCGCAAACAAATAAATACCCTGTATAATAGACTCGCAGCTTATAAAAGTTGATCAACCGAATAAAACCAGCAGATCTCTTCTTTTGGCCATTTGCGAAGTATCAATTGAGGCTTTGTAAAAGGCGGTCCACAAAATTTGCTTTGGGATCCTCATGGCCAAGATGGAGATCTTTGAAGGCGACAAAGCTCCTAACGAAGACGACACTGAGGAGCTCGACGATGGGAGTCAGTTGCTGAAGGACGTCAAAGTCACCGCATGCACAGTGTGGAAATATAATGTTTTTGGTTACAAATTATTATATCTCGATAATGAAATGAACTAGCGAAAAGAACTCAAACGCGTTTTAAGGCTTTTGAGGAATAGAATGCAGTGAACTTTTGAAAAAGTTTTAAACACACTCAAACAATTTTTTGTACTAAAGTTAAGGAAATTCGGTACTTGGCATAATAGTTAGATAATTTTCCTATTTTGTAGGAAAAAGCGATGTCTTTAACGAACTTTATACTTAATACTAGAAAATTCCCACTTGCTTCGCTGCGCCTGATAAGCCCTTTTGCGTTGTTCGATGCCAAAATAGCGTTGACGAGCAAACACGGTTTGTAAAGTAAAAATTCTTAGTTAAGGTTGAAACTAGTAAATAGCGGAACCCTCCCCACACATAGCGCTGTTATACCATATGGAATACTAATTCCTTTCGATGTCATGAGCTTTACCGACGATCTTATTTCCACCTGTAAGATCTCTGTCAACTGTGTGTAATCTTCTTCAATGATCTTGCAACTACAACATTGGTCCGATGCGTTATGTTGGTCAATAAAAGTCTTTATCAGTTTCCTGTTATAGGAGGTCCAAGAATCATCGATGTTTCACAGGATGAAAAGTTTTCCCTAACAATGGCTAAATGAGTTGGCTCTTCAATATCGTTCAAATAAAGCCATTTGTATACCTACCGTGTTCTTTCTTGGGCGGATGTGGTCGACTCTTTCCACTTTTACAATTCGTCTTAATATTTAGGCATCCGAGGACATATGTGAATATATTAATTTAATCTACAAACCTGCAGCAATAACGGCCGCCACAAGCAATTTCATCAAGGTGTGCTTACTCAATTTCGCAGTCTTTCTATGCATACATTCCTTATTTAGTCATCTGAAAAGTAAACTCGTATAACATAAGCATAGGGCCAAAGCAGAACAAACACACGGGGCTTCTATATATTTCGGCCGCAGCGCCATCCATTAGGTCCATTTTCGGCAACATAATTGCTTATCATGAAATGGATACGCATTATGAATTGCAAACGGATTGTATAAAATTTCGGATTTTTTAAATAACTCGTCTCCAGCGCCATCTATCGGGTTCATTTTTCGCAAGCGCATTTTTGATAATATAGGTAGCTCACATTGCAAATCTGAACGAAATCGGTTCATAAATACGACTTCCCAAATAACTCTACTCCAGCGCCGCCTAGTGAGTTTTCTAGTAGCCTCGACCATACGTATACAGAAAATGGGTTTTACCTTTTTGGGGTCAATAAATTTGTATAGGTTCAATCAAAACGCTCGAAACTATAATAATACGTTGAATACATGCCAGTTAAGTATTATGCAGGCTCAGAATATGTATTTAAATTCAGAAGTTATCCTTCTTAATCGCCTGCCCCGTTTGGGGCAAATCTAGTAATTACAAAGAAAAAATTAAATTGGAATTTAAGGAGTCTGAACCTGTATAATACTTTAATAGCGTATAGTGAAAATATTCTTACAGTTTCGGACGATTTGATTGATCCTAGAAAATTATATTAACATCAAAAGAGAATAACTAATTTTCTTGCGTGTTATTCCTATGGGAAAAATAAACACTCGATGCGCGACCTCTTAGAATCATACATGTAATACTCCTATATTGGCAGTAAGAGCTGGCGCCGTCGGAAAACACTACAGTACAGATACAGTCAAACTTCCATTACTCGAACTTCTATAACTCGAGGTAAATCAAGTGGAAATAGCGTTTAGAGAGCAATATACACTCATTTCTCTAACTCGAATTTCTCCATAACTCGAGTAAAAATTTTGGCAAATGCTTCTGTAAGTCGAACAATTTACGGGAAATCCCAAATTATGCACTTGGTTTGGTTGCTTTGACTTTTTTTCAGCGAATCTCGTATTCGGGAAAGTACTTGTTGGTTAAGCAAATGTTTTTTTTTTTTTTGACTTTTCTTTGTGTAACATTTGTTAATCAGTTTGAAAAGCATCTTCGTAGAGTAAAGACTAAATATTAGCATGACGTTGAAACGTGTTTTAAACTGTTTGTCTATTGAAAAAAGAATTTAGGCTAATCAAAGAAATTGAAAGTGGGATAGGAATAAAAAAGTGGCGATTCCTACAATTTTAAAAAATAAATAGTCAATAATAACTTTGAAACTGGTGCTACTTCTGGACACAACAAAGGAATGAAAAAAAAAAAACCTTTCAAAGTGTGGACAAAGCTGTATTCGAATGGTTTACGGCAGGTAGAAATAAAATAAATAATATTAAAAAAAAACTTTTTAATATACAACGCTTTTATAAATAGACTAAGAAGTAGAAAATAATATTTCTCAGTCTCATAGAATTTGTTTTGATGACTTTTGATTTTGCATGCATGCAATACCAAGCATGCATGCAATACCAAGCATTCGATTTAATTGACAATAGTCAAACTACATAACGTAGACCTAAAATTT